GTATTTGAGGATGGAATTGTTGTTGCGAATAATGATGTTTGTTTACAGAGGTTGGCGTAAGGATGCTCGTGCGTGCGTGTGCATGCGGGCACGTTTTGTGTGTGACAAAATATGGATATGGGCTCAAAAAGACGTGAATGCAGACAAACATCATGTTGTGTCTGAACACGTACGTGCACGCACACGCACGCGCACACGCACCACAACAACAGCACACGCGCACACGCACACGCACACGCACACGCACACACGTATCCCCCCCCCCCCCTCACACACACACGAGGCTAATCACAACAGTTACGAAATTAGAATGTTGGCAGAATTTAATTTGTAGGGTGAATATTTAATTCAGAATTTTGATTTCATTCAATCAGGGGGTTCACGACATGATAATCACACACAAACTGGCCTTAAATACCCCGATGACTACTGGCAGACTATTAAGAATTTCAAAGAGTAGCCCCAAAGCGAGAACTTATACCCGGGCACATTTTCTCTCTCCGACCAATGCGATGGAAGCATGGCGGGAAAGACATCGGATTTGCTAAATTCAAAATGGGCAGATGTCGCATGATAAAGGGATTGTACTCCTTTCACTCGCGTATGTCTCTCTTTGTCTGGCTGTCTTTGCCTCTGTTTGTCTGTCTGTCTGTCTATCCATCTGTTTGTCTGTCTCTCTGTCTCTGTCTCTCTGTCTCTCTGTCTCTCTGTCTCTCTGTCTCCTGTCTCCTGTCTCCTGTCCTGTCTCTGTCTCTGTCTCTGTCTCTGTCTCTGTCCTCTCTGTCTCTCTGTCTCTCTGTCTCTCTCTCTCTCTCTCTCTCTCTCTCTCTCTCTCTCTTCTCTCTCTCTCTCTCTCTCTCTCTCTCTCTCTCTCTCTCTCTCTCTCTCTCTCTCTCTCTCTCTTTCTTTCTCCCTCTCTCTCTCTCTCCTTTCCTAATCTATAATTAATACAGTGCCACTTTTCTGTCACTGATTTCACCTAAAAGGGAACTTTTGATGCGACGAATCTATTATTATTATTATTATTACTACTAGTAGTAGTAGTATCATTGGCATTGTTATTATTATCATATTTCAATATTACTATCATTATCATCATATCGATCACTGTAATTGTTAATCTTATCACATCTTTATTATCCGAGCTACTGTTATTATGTCCTTATGTTGTTACTGATAACAATGTAGAACAGATTCTAACCAAAAAATAAAGCCACTTTTGATGTGACGAATTTAGCCCTCCCTCCCTTCCATCCCCCCCCCACTGATTCGAACCAAAAGAAAAAACAGGCCACCTTTGATGTGACGAATTCAACCCCCCCCCACCCTGCCCCCTGCCCCCCTTTCCCAAGCTGTGATGTGAGACCGGCCTGAAATACGTATGAACAAAGAGGAGCCTTGACCTTCTGATTTAGTACGGGGCCGGCTGCACGCGTCTCTCTCCCTTGCTATCTCTCTCTTGTTTTCTCTCACTTCTTTGTCTCTCTCCCTTGCTATCTCTCTCTTGTTTTCTCTCACTTCTTTGTCTCTCTCCCTTGCTATCTCTCTCTTGTTTTCTCTCACTTCTTCTCTCCCTTGCTATCTCTCTCTTGTTTTCTCTCATTTTTTTGTCTCTCTCCCTTGCTATCTCTCTCTTGTTTTCTTTCACTTCTTTGTCTCTCTCCCTTACTATCTCTCTCTTGTTTTCTCTCACTTTTTTGTCTCTCTCCCTTGCTATCTCTCTCTTGTTTTCTCTCACTTCTTTGTCTCTCTCCTTTGCTATCTCTCTTGTTTTCTTTCACTTCTTTGTCTCTCTCCCTTGCTATCTCTCTCTTGTTTTCTCTCACTTCTTTGTCTCTATCTCTCACTTGTTTTCTCCACTTCTTGTCTCTCTTCCCTTGCTATCTCTCTCTTGTTTTCTCTCACTTCTTTGTCTCTCTCCTTTCATCTCTCTCTTGTTTTCTTTCACTTCTTTCTCTCTCCTTGCTATCTCTCTTGTTTTCTTTCACTTCTTGCTCTCTCCCTTGCCTATCTCTCTCTCTGTTTTCTCTCATTTTTTGTCTCTCTCCCTTGCTATCTCTCTCTTGTTTCTCTTCTCACTTCTTTGTCTCTCTCCCTTGCTATCTCTCTCTTGTTTTCTTTCACTTCTTTGTCTCTCTCCCTTACTATCTCTCTCTTGTTTTCTCTCACTTTTTTGTCTCTCTCCCTTGCTATCTCTCTCTTGTTTTCTCTCACTTCTTTGTCTCTCTCCTTTGCTATCTCTCTTGTTTTCTTTCACTTCTTTGTCTCTCTCCCTTGCTATCTCTCTCTTGTTTTCTCTCACTTCTTTGTCTCTCTCCCTTGCTATCTCTCACTTGTTTTCTCTCACTTCTTTGTCTCTCTCCCTTGCTATCTCTCTCTTTTTTTCTCTCACTTCTTTGTCTCTCTCCCTTGCTATCTCTCTCTTGTTTTCTTTCACTTCTTTGTCTCTCTCTTTGCTATCTCTCTCTTGTTTCTTCACTTCTTGTATCTCTCTCTTGTTTTCTTTGTCTCTCTCCTTGCTATCTCTCTCTTGTTCTCTCTTGTGTCTCTCTCCTTCTATCTCTCTCTTTCTTTCACTTCTTTGTCTCTCTCCTCTGCTATCTCTCTCTTGTTTTCTTTCACTTCTTTGTCTCTCTCCCTTGCTATCTCTCTCTTGTTTTCTTTCACTTCTTTGTCTCTCTCCTTTGCTATCTCTCTCTTTTTTTCTCTCACTTCTTTGTCTCTCTCCCTTGCTATCTCTCTCTTGTTTTCTTTCACTTCTTTGTCTCTCTCCCTTGCTATCTCTCTCTTGTTTTCTTTCACTTCTTTGTCTCTCTCCTTCTATCTCTCTCTTGTTTTCTTCACTTCTTTGTCTCTCTCTCCTTGCTATCTCTCGTTTTCTCTCATTTTTTGTCTCTCTCCTTGCTATCTCTCTCTTGTTTTCTTTCACTTCTTTGTCTCTCTCCCTTGCTATCTCTCTCTTGTTTTCTTTCACTTCTTTGTCTCTCTCCTTTGCTATCTCTCTCTTGTTTTCTCTCACCTTTTTTCTTTTTTCTTTTTTCTTTTCATTGGTAGATTCTTAATCTATTCTGTATTTGATGATGTTCGGGATTGTATTAATCTATTGTTGTTGTTAATGTTATTTTTGTAATCGTTTTGGGGATTATTAGTGTTATTGTTGTTTTTATGATTATTATGTTTATGATTGTTTTATGTGATTATTGTTTTTATTGTGGTTTTGATTATGATCATTATAATTATCCATTTGTTAAGTAGGCGTGTTCGAAACGTCACTTTCTGCTCTTACTGTGCATGTTTTCATGTTCACACACACACACACACACACACACACACACACACACACACACACACACACACACACACACACCACACACACACACACACACACACACACACACACACACAGATATATATATATATATATATATATATATATATATATATAAATATATATATATTATACCTATATACCTATATACCTATATACCTATATACATATATACATATATACATATATATACATATATATATATATATATATATATATATATATATATATATATATATATATATACATACATATACAATATACATATACATATACATATACATCCATCTATCTATCTATCTATCTATCTATCTATCTATCTAATCTATATCTATCTATCTATCTATCTATCTAACTATCTATCTATCTATCTATCTATCTATCTATCTATCTATCTATCTATCTATCTATCTATCTAATCTATCTATATATATATAAATATATATACCACACACACACACACACACACACACACACACACACACACACACACACACACACACACACACACACACACACACACACACACACACACACACACACACACACACACAGAGGTACAGGCGTCCACAACCAAAATATAATTGGTATCATATTGCACAGTTAGAAGAACCAATTTAATTTTCATTAAAACCTATGTTTTGCTATGAATATTTATCTCGCGTAACCATGTTAACAGCACTCCTTGCATACATACACGTATAGATAGGCATACACACATATACACACACAGAAACACATACAGACACGCAAGCATATATAGACCCATACAGACACACACAAGCATTTACAAACACACGCCAAGCACGAACACTAACAAACACACACATACAGAAACACAAACAAACACAAAACACAAACAAACACAAACACAAACAAACACAAACACATACACAAACACACACGCTAACCAACACAAACACAGGTACAACCACAAAAAAACAAATAAACAAACACAAAAAACACTGGCACAACCACAAACAAACACACACACAAACACTGGCGCAACCACAAACCAATACAAACAAATTAACCAACACAAATACAAACAGACACTGGCACAACCACAAACAAACACACAGAAACCAACACAAACACACATACACACAAACAAATAAAGCAACACGAACACAAAACACAAACAGACACAGACACAAAAACACAACCACAACCACAACCACAACCACAACAACAACAACACCACACAACCACAAACAAACACGGCCCGCGCGGCAGTCCCCCCCTGCGCCGCAACCGGTAAAGACATTTCATTCGTACAAAAAGACTATCAATAATCGATGATCTAAGCCATCACAACAGCACACTCCACCTGGCCCGCTGATAACGCCGCCCTCCACATCCAGTCGAGTCGTAGCTGGTGCTCGAACTCGGAGCAAAGGCTTTGAGGAGGACCTCGAGTTGGTAATCGTCGAAGGGGGAACTCTTGGCGGATTTTTTTTTTTTTTTTTTTTTTTTGGGGGGGGTGTCGGCTGGTCTGCGTTGCCGTTTGCGTTTCTTCCTTAGCTTTAATTTCTCGAATTTTGAAAGGAATTTGAAAAAAATCTATTCGTCTTTCGTTATGATTACGATTCTCGTTTTTTTTTTTTCTTTTCTTTTCTTTTCTTCGTGTTCTCTAATCTTGTCAAATATCGACGTTCCGAGCTGCCACCAA